AATCCATTCATTTGTTTAAAGCAGTACTGACTCCAGGCTAAAACCCTGTATGTGTAGTTTTACAGTTAATATTGTTTATCTGAAACTCTCTTTTACTTCTGCTTTTTTTTTAAATGCACCTGCATTTACAACAGGAAGTGGTGTTTTTGTTTATATTTCTTTCAGACTACCTGTGTCATGTGTATGTGAGAAATGACAACCTGAGTGCAGTGGTCATCGCAGATACGGAATACCCACAGAGAGTGTGTTTTACATTGCTGGATAAGGTGAGAATGAAATTCTTCTACCCTTCATCATATGACTTAAATCGTGAAAGGTAATTAAATTGGATTTTGTTCCAGGTGCTTGATGAGTTTTCCAGGCAGGTGGACAGTATAAACTGGCCCTCTGGTAATCCTGAAACCATAAACTACAAAGCCTTAGACATTCACCTCGCTAAATACCAGGTCAGTGTTCATCAAATCTGTTAAATACAATATTATAATATATTAAAAAAATTGTCTTTGCTTCCCTTATTGAGTTTTTATATGATGCTGACATGTTCTTTAATGTTGCCATGATGAACGCATGAGAGGAAATTCAAGAATGTGTGTTGCTGATTAAATTGAACCTAAAAGATTTTATGTTTTTTTTTAATCTTATGCTTGTTCTTCCCAGAACCCCAAGGAAGCAGATGCAATGACCAAAGTGCAGGCAGAGTTGGATGAGACAAAGATCATTTTGGTAAAACACCACAGAAACTCTTGATTCTTCATTCAAGTATAATTAACGTATTGTCACGTCCAGTGCGCTGACTTGCTACAATGACACTGGTAAATCAGAGAATACCTGTTTTTGTACAATTTTTACAACTCTCACACCAGGTAACCTGCTCTTTAGCATTTTTTATGGATGCTAATGCCCCTTAAAAAAAGTTTTTGGAAATGGAAAAAAAAAACAGATTTTCATTCAGATTTAGTTAAAATTTCAAAGTTGTTTGTTTTTAAGGGTTAAAACATAACTCTCCTCAACAATTGTATTATAATAATAAAACTTGCCAAAATGGTTGGAGACATCTGAGGGACTTGTCTTCACATGTTTTAGTTATTAAAATCAGAAACACTTTGAGATTAAAACTGTCTTAGAACTTTTTGACTTCACTATACTATTTTCTATTGCAGTCTTAAAATTACTTCCACATGACTTTCATTTTGACACTACTGTAAAATCAATGGCAGTTTTCCTCAATGTTTAAATCTGACTACAGACAGGATGTGGCAGTGGTTTTAGCGTTCAGCATCTCAGCAAATGTTTTTTTGTGTGTAGCACAACACCATGGAGAGCCTTTTGGAAAGAGGAGAGAAGCTGGACGACCTAGTGGCAAAGTCGGAACACCTGGGAAACCAGTCCAAGGCGTTCTACAAGACTGTGAGTACTGGCAGCTATTTTCACACATTTTAAATAACGACACGTGTGTGGCCACCGCTCAGCTCTACATGTGTGTCTGTGTCAATTCCACAGGCGCGGAAACAGAACTCGTGCTGTGAAATAATGTGATGTCGGATCTGCGTGGACTCACTTGTCTCTGCCTTTCTACTTTTCCTACATCTTGCACTGGTCACCAGCTTTCAACACCAAGGATGGGGATTTTGACAGGGATGGGAGGTGGGGTGATTGGATGGGAGAAAAAGATGGGTGGAAGGTGGTTGTCTGGACAGTGACTGATGGGGCTGAAGGATTAATGGGGTTTGGTCAGGGGGAGGAGAAAATTCTGTAGTAGTTGTTGACCTTGTTAAGGTATGATCATCTGTGTGGTGTCTCCGTTCCAGCGGAGGAAGGACTGGTGTGACGTATTGGTGATGTTTTATCTTCAGAACATTGAATATTACCTGGATTGATTTACCTCCCAATAGATTAATCTAAAATATTTCTTCGACAGAGTATTAACTATAGACATGTTCAGTTCTACAAATTTTGTGCTTCTCTCAAGTCTCATAGTATATATCTCCAATATTCCCACATTGGGTGATTGTGTGTTATTGTGTGATTGAAATGGGTCTTAAATTAAGAGATGGAGGTTATATGTATATATAAAGATGTTTCTCAATCGATGCAGCCTTATTGCTATGTGACGACTATGTAAACGACCTGTGCTGTGTGAGAATCGCCATCTAACATTTGTTTGTTTTCACCATTGCTCTGCGTACTGTACCATGCTTTTAACTTGTAGCTACACCACCACCTACCTTCCCTACCTTTTGAGTTTATCTTTATTTACATTTTACTATGATTTTTTTTGTTACCTTGCTGTGCGGCTTAATTCTCTGCTCTCTGACTGTTTCCAGTCTTTATAGGCTGTGTAAATTCAAATGTCATTCTCGTAAGACATGACACCGCTTACTTTTGTGATGCTGTCATCTAAATGGTTATTATTCCTTTACAAAATACAGATCAGTTTAAAATGAAGACACGCTTTTGGTTGTGTGTATTTTTGATTTTTTTTTTTCTTCATGTCTTTGACAACACGTACAATTTGCTGAACACACAATATCTGCAGACTGCATTGATGTTGAGTTCCTGTGTGTTTTTGTGAGTACGCATTTTGCTATTCGTTTGTGTAATATCACTGCAGACTGTTGGTGTCGCTGTGCAACGCAGAGCGAATAAATGGATATATTTCCCATAAACGTTGTACATTCATCTCTGTTTGCCGTTTTAATGACGCCTCCTAACCTTAATGACGTCTGTGTGTGGAAGGTATTTCTTAAATTTATTTAATTTTATTGTTTTGTTTTTCTGTTAATGGACTACATTGTACTGTTGTATTGTAGGTATTGATGGAAACGGTTTGCTGATCAGTAGTACTTATTATGTGAAGTTAATCAGCAGATTTTTATTTTAAGACAAAATAAGTTATAGTAAAGGTGTTTTCCGTCTGTATGAGTAGTTTGTATTTGAACTGAAGTTTAGCCAACCCCCAGAATAGGAGGGCGGGGTCAACACATAAAAACACGACCACGCAAACGCCTTAAAGAAAGACTGGGGATTGTCTTGAAAGTAACCATTAATAAATGTTACACACAAAAAATAAATAAAAACAATTTAAATTAACTTCCGTCCTCCAAAACTATTCCTCTTGGAAGTAATAAGACGTGTCCAGGTATGGGACTTGTATTTACTAAGACCGATATCTATCATGTTAAGTAACTTCTGTTGAAAAGTTAAGTCTTCAGACAATAAATACACTTTCTTTGTGAACGTGTGATTTTAGTGTAGTCGCGTATCTTCAGGATATATATTTTCGAAGGCTTTATTTTAGTTGCCTTTATTTTCTGTTGAACGCCGCTTCCGGAAGCAGAGCCGCTTCTAGTTCTAAATGATAAACAGTTCAAGACAAACTAATAATACATTCTTAACGTTGCATATTTTTAATGAAACTGGTGGTAATTATAACGATATTATTAATAAACTAATATAGTATTTATTCAAGTTGTGGATATAACAAGGGATGTAAATTCAATAATATTTCCCAATAAAATGTCTTTAGCTCTTTGATCCAGAATAGAAAATGTCTTAACTTTTGATTAGTCCAGTTTGGTACGAAGTATTAATTTGTTAAATGTATTCAATGCTGCAAACCACGCCGTCGAGTACGCAAATAAAAACAAACCACAGTCACCAAAGTAGTTTTTTTTTTTTTTTTTAATTTTCAGCAATCGATAACTTCATTGTCTTAAATACTCGCTACCTAAATGCAGCACGTGAGCAGACAGACAAACCGTGTGGTGAGAGTGTGATAATCCAGATTTCCCAAAGAAGCGCCTGAACGAAGCAGGAGATCCAGACCACAGCTGAGGTGTGTGTGTGTGTGTAAGAGTGGGAGTGCATATTTGTTTGTGCGTGTATGTTCGCGTTTGGGAAAACGGGGTAAACTATCTAGGAAGAGAGAAGTGTGACGTTAGCAGAAATGTGGACGGAAGTACAAAACAAGAGCGAGCCTCTCATCAACAGCAACCCCAACACTTCAGAGGTGAACACGAAAACACGACCCACGCTGCAGTTCTCGTGTACTCTACCGAACAGGCGCTGCTGTTGTTTTTTTTTTTTTTTTTTTTTACCGTAGTTGACATTTTCTTATCTATTATCTGAGCATAAAATACTCATTATTCACGGAGCTTCCTCTCATTCTGCGGTCGGTTTCCTATCTGCTGCACGAGCTATCCGAATTTTCTCCTTTTTTTCCTCTTTGATCCAAATAGCTGTCATAGCTGACACTTACCTGCACAACAGGTCGAACATCAACAAGGTAATTTAAATATTTCTTTTTAAATATTTAACTTATTTCAGGTAAAATTTTACAAATTTTGGAACAAAAAATTGTCAATTTTATTTATTATTGTTAATACATTTCTGATTAATTTCTTAGAACTGTTTTGTTATTTTTGGCTTTTCATTCCTTCTGCTTTATACATTAGCTATTGTGATTAACAGCAACAGCATCTCACGTGTCAGTATTTTAACTCACAACACCTAAGTCTAGTCAGTTAAAAAAATGCATATCATCTTATCGCAAGTTTCAACTGTTGTTAAAAAAAAACTTTTTTGGTATATGCATACATATTGTGGCGGGCACTGGCACTGAGGGGCATGCCTCTCACTCAAGAGGGTTGTGGGTAGTGATGTTACGCGAGGTACCGAGGCTTCGAAGCGTGTGTCGAGTAATGAAGGGGGCGTTTCCACGAAGCGCGTATCGAGGCTTGCTTTATTTAGGGGAGGAGCCAGAATGATGACCTCCGAAGCCTCGCTGCCCGGTTGTACCACGTGATTGCTTCAGATTGTGGCGCGGGGCATTACGACTATATAGACCCGTCAGACTGCAATCCAAAATGTGGGTTTTCGAAGGAGTAGTTTGTATACGTGAAAGAATGGAGCCGGCACGCAAAAGGAGGATTTCCCCTGTGTGGGAATTCTTTGATCTTGTATCGCCTAACAAGGTAAGTTATATGTAACATTATTAAAGATGCATTATGTATGCTTATAGAGAACT